GCCCAGGCGGGTCTCGAACCCGCGGGCTCAGACAATCCACTCACCTCAGTCTCCCAAAGGTGCGGGATTACAGGCTGAGCCACCGAGCCCGGCTACCCTCAGTCCTTTTTGAGGATGAAGCCACTGACCCACGTAGTCACCTGCCAGTGGCTGCCCCTCTTCTTCTTTTCAGTTGAGGAGGCACCTGCCTTGCCAGGAGATGCTCCCAGACTGGAGGATCTTCCAGTCCTGAGGTGCTGAAAAGTCACCTTGGTTGAAAAGCTAGCAGGGGAGTGGTAGCCCCAGGAAGGTCTTGGGGAGAAGGCTTCTCCCAGAACTCCAGCAGCTGGCAATCTCTCAAGCCCCACCATGTCCATCCGTATTCCTGTCAGAGCCTGGGCCAGGGGAAGAGCGCGCCCAGCACCTGCAGGGTCACCAACAGGCAGCACAGGAGGGGAAAGCAGCCCCACCCCACCTCTCTGGGTCTTTCTCTTTCCTTATCCATCTCTGAGATGTGAAACTTTGATGCTGTTGATCCCAACCCTCATTTGGGGAAGAAACCCAAGCTCCAAGAGGGGACAGGAGTTGTCCAAGGTCACACAGCTCAATCAGTGTCGACCTACTGGGCATCTGCTCTATCGTCAGAATAAACTGCTCCCAAGTAGCCATGCACGTGCACATAATTTATTTCATCTGGAAGGAGCATTGCCTCCAGTCCTCTTTTGTCCCTCTCAGGCCTGGTCAAGGTTAGAATTGGAATGCTTCAAGTATGAGTTCCAGATGATTCACCAGTGAGAACAACCGTGAGGGAGACTCCTTGGGTCATGGGGACCCCAGGGCATTCCTGGATCACCACTAGGCAGTTCCCCACTCCCAGTCTAATCCCCATCTTGTTTCTTGTTTGGCAGAAGTAGATTGATCAGTTAAACTAGTTATGATTGCTTTCATATGGTCAACATTTAAGGAGCGCCAGCTGTCCCTTCCACGACAGGCAATACTGAGGGGCCAAAGATGAGAAAGAGAGGCATAAACAAATCACAACAAAATGGTAGAATAAAGGGAGTTCTGCCCTCACAGACGCACACAGGTAGGGTAGTTCGTCGCTGGAGAGGAAGCAGGGGAAGGTTCCATAAGTGTGCCAAAGGCGTCAGATGTGTGAAAGTGCTGTGAAGTGTCCCCCTCCTGTGATGCTGCCCCTGAGTCACAAGTATTCTGGCATTTCGTGCTGGGGATTTCCATAATGGACAGGCCGGACTTACCAAGTCATTGCACTTAGGATGAGGAAGAGCAGTCCTGGAAAGAGGGTATTGAATAAGCTACAGCTTTCATACTTTGAGTACATGTAACATGTGCTTCTCAAACATCATTGTGCATCCGCCACTGTGTAGGGCACTCAGGAAGTCCAGAGTCAGATGGATCCATACCAAGACATTCAGGGTCCCAGGCTGAGTTTACCAACAGGAAGTGCTCACATCCTAACTGCCTAATTCAACTGCTTTTCCAAGTCATGCTTGGTTTCTCAGCGTTTAATTGGAATTCTCTTCTCCCTGAGCTGATGAGACATACCCTTCTCCCAGGATTCCCTACCTTTGTAGCTCTGGGTGTTCACTTTGCTCTGCCTCTTTCTTCTCTCTCCTGGGTAACTGATAAGGTCTGTGGCCTTCTCAGTTCTCTGGGGGGCACTCTCTTCTGCTTTCCTCCTCAGCCCTGTAACTGCCCTTCTGAGGGCTCCCACCCCCTCCTCTTTCTTTCTTCTCTCCCTCTCCCCCTCCAACACTTCAGGACACCAGGGCTAGCCTTTCTTTTTCACCTCTACAATCACAACTCACTCCTAACAGAATTCCTGGTCTCCAGACCCACCCTACATGTTGGTGCCAAATTCAGATTCCTAAAGATACCACCCTGGCTGTTGACTCTCCTACCACAAACCCTTTGGTACCAACGCACTCCTCCACAGATTAGGCTCTGGCAGGCAACCTGGCCTTCACGGTCTCCATGCTTCCCCATGGCAGGGCCCAGGGCTCCACCAGGCTGCACCCCACCATTCCACCATGGGCAGGGCCTCCCTTACCCACTCCTGCAGCCCCTTCCCCCGGATGGCTGCGCTGCCAACTGGAATTGCTTGGCCCTGCCCGGGCCCAGCCCTCACTGCCGCCTGGAAGTCCCGTCACCACATCTGTGTCTTCACCTCCAAGGCATTCCCTCAGTGCTCTGAGGACGACCTGTGTGCCCTCAGTATAGTCTGCAAGGATGGTCCACAGCACATCACACCTTGTACCGTGGCCACATTCCCAAATGCCCCCATTTCTCAGCCAGAAAACTGACAAGGCTGGAGCCAGGCACAGCTCTCAGCACAGCAGCTCAGAGTAATGCCTCTTGGATGACTGTCCTTTTACTCAAGTATCAGTCTTTTATTTTCAATTCTGCCCGTCCTTTTTCCATCTTTATGCTGCCAAAGAACCTTGAACGGTTTCAGGAAGAGGCAGTTGGGTGGGAACGAGTGGATAGGTAAAAGACCAAGCCAGACGGACACCAAGTACCTGTCAAGGGATGGGCGTATCACCTAGTACTTGAGGAGCTGAGCTCTGGTCCCTGGGTTTAAATCGTGACTTCACTACTTACTAAGTGTGTGAACTAGGGGAAGTCACTTAACCTCTCTGTGCTTTAAGAGAGTTAATAGAAGTTATAACAGAGTTAATAGAAGTACTTCATTATTGCTTTTGTATTAAATGAGTTCATGCATGTTAAAAACAAACAATGGCAGGCACACAGCATTCTCATTACGATCTTATTACTATTACTCCTACTATGATTATTATTCCTGATCTAGCATCCCCAAGGACATACACTGAGTGTTAGGATCTCCTTACCCTTTTCCAATTCATTTTTTTCTCCTCCGTTCACAGGATGACTCTCCTGTCCAGGACACAGAGCTGTGAAGAAGAGTTCACTGGGCCCAGGGATGAAGTTGCTGGAGGCAAGTAGCAGCAACAATAGTAGCAGCAGCATATTAAGCCATTGCAGAAGCAGAAGGGGCTGAGTGTCTGGGTCAGCCTGAAGACACAGGGTGGATTCTCTCCTGGCTTCCTCACCGATGGAGATTGGCTCTGACAGCAGCAGCCTTCTATCAGCTTCAGTTCCTGTCATTTGATGAACTTGATTTAAAAGACAAAACAAAACTTATTTAAAGCAATGCCACGGGGACACTGGTCAGCCTGTGGCATCCTGGACACGATCCACACACCCATCCTTGCAGCTGACCCAAACTGAGCTCTGGTTTAGTGCATCATGATTTGCTTCTATAAAGTGATAGCCTTTTTACTGTCCTAAAGTTTTTATGGTTCTCAAATGTAGGCAAAAACTAATTTTAGGTGGCCAGAAACATAAAATATAAATCCTATAAGTTACAGAAGACCTTAAATTGTATTCAGCTTGGTCCAAATTTGACTGGCAAGCCACTTTTTAAAACATTGGACCAGAAGAGAGAATTACTGAAACATTAAAAAAATATGTCTGAGGCCAGCCATGGTGGCTCATGCCTGTAATCACAGCACTTTAGGAGGCTGAGGCTGAGGACTTGCTTAAGGTCAGGAGTTCGAGACCAGCCTAGGCAACAGAGCGAGACCTAGTCTCTACAAAAAAATCAAAGAAATTATCTGGGCATGGTGGTGCATGCCTGTAGTCCCAGCTACTGGGGTGGCTGAGATGGGAGTATCACTTGAACCCAGGAGTTTGAGGCTGCGGTGAGCTGTGATCATGCCACCACACTCCTGCCTGGGTGATAGAGTGAAACCTTGTCTCAAAACCAAAACGAAACAAAAATGTCTGTTCCATCAACAGCAGCATTTCCTGTCCCATAATTCTTTAGTTGATGTCCATCATAGGAGGCCATCAGCTCACCTTCCCTCTTGCCACCCTGGGGGAGATTGTGGAGAACTCCCAAGGAGAGGCAGAGTGCCAGAGGTTTCTTGCTCTGCGCTGCACCTCCCCGTCCTGGAAGCAGAGCTTGATACCAGAGCAATGGTGGTGCGAGGAGGAATTTTGCGCTTCCAGAAGGTTGCCCTGGAGCATGGACCAGATGTTTCCCGAGCAGCACACCTTGAGCACCAGGATGTGCAAGCTCCTTTCCAGCTTCCCTGGGAAGATGTCCCTGAAGCCCAGCCCAGCCCAGGTTTTTCTCCTGATGCAGGAGGAGTGAGTTGGGTCTTTAGTCTCTTCTCACTGGTGACTCTTGCTTTAATGTTCTGTTTGGAGAGGGCAGGAGGTCTTGCAAGGACCTCTCCCCTCTCCACACACAGTTAATCTTAGGGTTGGTCCTTATTCGGATTTGAGTATTTCACTGTCTCAATGTGCTGATTTGGTATTTGGAGAAATTGTTTTTCTGGAAGTCTGTGAGACCACATCCTACCCTGACTTCTGAAAACAGTCTCTCAGACAAAAAGGCCTTATGTCACCACTGGTACCTCAATTTTCTCATCCCATTTATAGTTTTTCAAGATCCAAGATAGTGTTAATATTTGGGATATATATTTTCAAAAATGATTTTTTAACAGTTTGTAACTTATAGCAAACTTGTAACCTGATTGAGACTGATACTGTCACAGCTATCATAAACTTTAGATATTAGCAGAATTTGGGAGATATGTGTGTCAGTTATTTTGAGAGCGACATAGTGTCTATCTACCATCTATCTATTGACAGATAAGTCTACCCCCTAAGCAATACATGGATTTATTTATATATGTTTTGGGGTTGTGTAGACACACACACATCCGGGCAAAGTGCTTTGTGAATATGTGCACAATTGTGAGTCTATGATGAGAGGGGGCTCTTTCCCTTACTTGAGAAAGGTGTGGGACAGAGATGAAAATCAAACTGTACTTTTTTCTTCTGGAAGATCTAAACATTATAGATGAGAAAGGAGCAATAAAAAGTGACAAGAATGTGATGTTATGGGAGCGTGCTTGATGGTGTCAGAATACCTTTCTATCCCCTAGTCCACTGTAAGTCATGTTATTTGGCTTACTTCATGAAAAAACAGATACCCTATCCCCAGGGGTTGTTAACGAATGAGGGCCCTAGCTGGGAATTCAAGAAGCACAGGGACTGACTCTCGGTCCTGCCGCCTCCCCTCCTCCTCCCACCCCTCCAAGCTCTCCTTTCCCAAAGCAACCGTGACTGGGCATTGCATTTGCATGGCTGATATTGGAATTTCTACATTTGGGATGAAAGAAATCCATCTGTGTCTTAGCACAAAGATGAGGCTAAAAGAGAAGGTCAGAATCTTCTTCCGTGATCTTCTTAGTCTAGCTTGAATTCCAAACTGTGTCCTTCCTTTCTGCAGAAAGAGAGCAAGAAAAGAAATGGCTGCTTTGAAGGGCTCTGCCAATGTTTCAAAGGAGCTGCAATGCTGGTTCAGCTGCATATGAACCTGGGGGCCTTGGGACCCCACCTTCCTCATGGAGGTCATCCTGAACAAAGCTCAGTTTGTCATGCAGGTGTTGTCCTGCGACGAGTTCTCTGGATGTTCAATATAATATATGTCAAATAAAGGAATAAATGAGTGAAAAGGTAACCAGCTCACCATCTTCTGATTAGGTCTCTGGTTAGGTAAACATTTAATACAGCTGAGATAATGAGGGCACTCAGCTGCTGATGACAGGAACCCAGCTCAGACTGGCTGATGAGAAACAGAGCTGTCTCTGTTTCTGAATCCACCCCCCTTTCCTACATACTGAACCCTATAACTGAAAGGAAGAGACCCATATTCAGTCACTCAAGCGACATCGGGAACATCTCTTGGGACTGGTCTCTACTTTCCTCTGTGTTGGTCATGTTCTCAAGCAGGCTCTTCCCAGCCTGCAAACCCAAAGGAAGAGCTTATTTTTTCCCCAGGAACTGTGGGAAAAAGCCCTGCAGAGGCTTTCTGTAGGCCTGTGTGGATCCTGTGCCCACACCTGAGCAAATCACCAAGGCCAAGAAAAGGCAGAGGTCATGTGCCCTCCCCTAGAGCTGGGCGCTAGGTGGGGTAGTCCTGTGTACCAGGACTGTGAATGGGAGCAAGGTGATTCCTCACAGTAAAATCAGGGTGCTGTTACCAAAGGACGTGGTGCTGGGCAGGAAAACCAACAGCTGTTCTCCACAGGGGAAACCAGAAACACCAAAATCCGAAAACACCAAGTTTACTTCAAAATTAAATTTTGTTTGACCCCCAACTCCTTCTAGCCAACTTTGTGCCCTACAGGCCAGGTGAAAATAGGATGAACAGAACATCTCTATATAATGATCAGGTGGCTTATGAAGATGTTGAGAGCACTGAGCAAAATTCAAATGCTACTCATATAAAATGGGATTCAGATTTATCAGCCACCCAAGAAAAGCGGCCTCATTATTCCATGTAACAATGTATTGCTGTGTCCAGAGCTAACCTGTAGCTTCATGAGACTATGAAGTGTCTGCATTATTCGTTGTACACAGTGCCACTAACATGGGAGTGCTCGGTATACATTTGTTAAATAATGAATGACAAAACTGATTTCAGAGCTGGGATAGAATGATTTTCAACAGTCATGGCTGCATACACCTCTCTTATCTGATACCAAATGCCTTGAATGTCATCATGAGTGTCCTTTCCATGAAAATGCAAATACACAAGAGTCATAATTATTATTATTATTATTATCTTTTGAGTTGGAGTCTCACTCTGTCGCCCAGACTGGAGTGCAGTGGCCGCTCCCGGCCACCACAGCCTCGACCTGCTGGGCTCCGGCCATCCTTCTGCCTCAGCCTTCTAAGTAGCTGGAACTACAGGCATGCGCTACCACGCCCGGCTGATTTTTTCTTTGATTTATTGTAGAGATGAGGTCTCGCTGCCCAGGCGGGTCTCGAACCCGCTGGCTCAGGCAATCTACTCACCTCAGCCTCCCAAAGGCGCGGGATTACAGGCTGAGCCACCGAGCCCGGCTGTCATAATTATTTTAAGCCTCCTTTGTCATCCACCCTTGGTGTGAGTTGGTTCTTGAGGCCCTCCCCGCAGACAGGTAAGCACAGGAGAAGTGCAAAGTGCACAAAGGCCTAGGGGCAGGACACGGTTCTGACCTCATTTTGCTTGGGGTAACGCAGGCTGACTGTGAGCCCTGTGGTGGTCCTGACCCCAGTGGCTATGGATGCTGAGGAAAGAACATTATTCCCGTCTTACTTCAAATCCCAGGAGAGTCCTGGAAATCCCAGGGAGGCTCCATGGTGGTCAGTGGTCAATGGGGCAGGAAGTTGTGGTTCTTTGCGACTCCTCAGAAGAGGAGGAGATGACCAATGTATCGCATGCCTCACAGGAGAAAGGGAGCCAGAAGAGCAAAGAGACTTCTGACACTGCCTCCTAATCCTAGAAAGTTGTGGGGCTTCTCCACAGCAGCCAGAACACCCCTGGGCCTGGCACAGTCTGGAAGATGATGTGAGGGAAACAGGATGCAGAAGAAAGAGGCCATGGGAGGCTAGGATTCCCTCTAGGGATTCCTGAAGTAATGACTCTGGCCTCCATGATGTCGTTTTACAACGAAATTTGAGAAAATTACTTGAACTCGGGCAAACCCGTAAAGTCAGTTATCACACTTATCAATTGTTTCTGTTTTAAAGAATGAATGGACAGAATTGCACTTTAACCAGCATTCAGAAACAAGATTCTATGAGGGGGGAACCCCCAAAAAAACCACCTGGAATTAGCTTTTGGAAGGCAGGCCCTTTGTTGTACAAGCTTCCCCAGCTAGGTAAGTGTTCTAAGAACCTATTGTTTTTTTATCTGGAAGTTCTGAGAAGATTGCATCATGATTTGTGGAAGAAACGTCCCTAGTTGGGGCAAACAGGAGACTGGTTCTTCCACCATGACAACACACCTGCCCACACAGCAGTTTTTGACAAAAAAACGGCATGACCCCCATGCCTCACCCTCCTTATTCACTCAGTCTTGCCCTGAACTACTTTGTTTCCTCAGATGAAAAAAGTCCTCAAAGGCAAATGTTTTGCTGATGTGGAAGAGGTGAAAAAAAAAAAAACAACAACAGCAGGAGCACTAAAAGGTATCAAAACTGACAAGTTCAAAAACTGTTTTGAGCAGTGGAAAAAGCATCTCAAATGTGTATTGCATCAAACGAAGAGTAGTTTGAAGGTGACTGAAGGTTAAATATGTACGAATAACTACACAATTTTTTAAATAAATAAATCCCGGGTTTTTTTTGGCTCCCCTTGTAGAATGATTATATGGTTAGTACGCAGAGAATGAGTATTACAAGAGGCAGATACTCATTCCCCAAAAAATAATGGCTTCTTCAAACAATAGGCCCTCCAGCACTAGTCATTACTGTGTGACCACGTAAGGAAGCCAAGGCACCAGGCACATCCTAGTCACACTGCACCTGGCCTCTCAGGAGTGACAGAAACAGCCTTATTGATGGCCTCAGAAAGCACAAAAGGGCCTGCTTTGCATGGTTTCTAATTCTGTTTCTATTCCTTCTACC